GCTCTGTGTTGTTTCCATCCTTCAGTTCCTTTTGCTTTCTTGAACCTTTTTCTGCTTTATTTCATCAGAACATTTTGGATTCAGCTACTCTGGATTATCCAGRTGGRATGTTGTTTTTRTYAAAGGTGATAAAGTTTTGTTGGTYGCCYTTGTGATGATGAGTTTCTTTGGTTTCTGATGAATAAATCCAGAGTAGTGACTAGGGGACTGAAATGGAGGGAGAAAATGAGCAGTATTGAGCAGTATTGAGTATGAGTATCTGAGTGGAGGATATAGCATGTAGTGCTCTCAAWCACTGCTAAAAACAATTGGAACTTTTTGTAATAATTCTTTTCYGTAGATGCTATGGGGAATTTGCCTGCTTAGGAATGTGAAAGCAGGATGATTAATGAGACTGGCAGTYGGAGAGCTGGCTGAGAGTCAGAGGCTTAATACCTGCCTGGAAGATCAGCTTATTCCCAAAATTTTCAGGAGAATTTTTTGAATCCTATCAGGGCATCTCTTTCCTGTGCTTGTGTAGATACCATTCCTACAACTTTTTCATTCTAGTATCTAAACAAAACCCAAAGTCCTGTTCATGGGCAGCTATTAATAATTGATTAAAATAATTTATTGCAGAAGGATTCTAGTTAAGAAGTTAAGTGTGGCCTACAGCAAATTCATCATAACAATTTCAGTTAGAGAAAATACTTTGTATTTACTGGTTTTAAGACAATAGCAGTACTGCAGTGCATTTTAACAGTATTATACTATTAGTGCAGCACAYGGTACATTTCTTTAGCTGGGAAGGGAGTTGTGACCATACAAAATGCTGCTGAACTTCCTCTCTGCAGTAGTTGCAGAGAAGACTCTGAAGTATTTGCACAACTGAAACTGATGGAAGAAGTTCAGGAGTACAAATTTAAGTAGCCCGCAATAAAGTTCTGCCTGTGGTACTGACAGGATCGATCTTGCAGGAAAAAATATCTTCCATATAATGAAAAAGTAATTTTAGAGGAATGTACTTGAATGAGCTACTACTATTTGAGTTTATTTGCTGTTGATGGTTTAGCTACAGAAAGAGAAACAAATGAGTTCTTCTTGAAGACTTTTATTTCATCATTGCAGGAGAAAACATTAACAAAGGAACTGCTGAAGAATTGTRTTTTTGTCTGTTTCCTCTTGCTTTCAGTACTTAAAACATAAGATATTTATTTAGCTTGGGTCAGTCCTGGCTGAACTAAATGCAGGTCTGCTTTGGATTTAATAACTAGCCTATGAATTAGCCCTTTAAAAATCTTGCTTCTGGAAAGTATCCTAATATCTATTTAAATTATTTATACTTTAGGTTGAAATAAATGTATTTTCATCTATGGATTATGGTTTATAGTGATTATTTCATTTGAGTTTGTCAGAGAGAGATCATAATGCTGTGAGGGTGCAGAAGAGCCACRTTTTTATGTTTATGTTCATGTTGTCACTGTTCATGTAGAACAAGCAGTATTAATGAACACCCACATGTACCTATATACCTAGAGCAATCGAAATGTCTCAAGCAAGACGCAAGGCATAAAAATAAGAATATGATCAGGACTTTACAGGTTTCTTCTGTTACTGTAGTATATCGAGATACAGTGTTTATGTATCATTCTGTCACGATTTTCCATTTCTTCTGGTTTATTTTGTTTCAGCCTCTTGGAGCCAGCGACTATTTGGAAATATCAAAGCATTTTGACACGGTGTTTGTTCGTGACATACCACTTCTTACAATAGCAAAAAGGACACAAACTCGTCGTTTCATTACTCTTATTGATACCTTTTATGAGCATAAGGTGAGAACCAAGCCTTTCCTGTGTGCATAGGAATAATATTGGGAGTCCTAAAACCTGACCGTTACATTTGGTTTGAAGAAAGGCTTTCTGTCGTAATGGTTTGGAAAACATAAGCAGAATGAACTAGCACTGCAAAGAAACATCATTCCAGTTTCACAAAAAAATGGTCCTATTGCAATAAAAGCAGATAAACAGGGTTGTTTTTTTTTTTGTTTTCTGAGTATTAAGCATGAGCATAAATATAAGCCTGAGCTCATTTGCCTTTCTTGAATGGGGATGTTCTTTCCCAACCCAGGAAAACAACAGAAGCCATGTCATTATTTTAATAATGAAAGATTGTGTTGCCAACTGTGCTGGARTGAATTGAAGTTTTTTAGATTTCAATCTGTATGGGCAGTTGGTCAGGAATCGGTGCCTTTTTGATCACAAAGGAGTAGTTAATAGCACAGTTACATCAAATTTAAAGTAAACTGTCACTGTAGGCTTTACATTAGATTGGAGATTTGCTTATGAAATAATARTAATAAATGCAGCACCTCATGTGGATTTACAGAGATTTCAATCATGGAAGCCAAAACCAGCATAACTAAAACAAAGGGAAGTTCCTGTTTAAGGTGATTTTTTTTTTTTTTTTAAGTGGTGCAAGATATGAAACCCTATCTTATATGTGATTATATTTGCATGAACTTAACTATTTATGCAGTTGGGAAATGTCAGTTGAAGTTGATTCTCATCAAGAATGTTCTGGCATTGGCTGTTGATCAGAAAGATCCCAACTCAGCCTATGAGTAGTATGGGTATGAGTAGTCTCATTCAAATCAACCAGATTCTTTATCCTTTATGATCTGAAAATGGACATTTGCTAAGAGAATATGCTAATATTAAACTAATGTGTTAGAAGTAGGGGGATGGTCAGCTCTGTTTTTGTGCTGTTATTAAGAATTGCAAGCAGTTGCTTTCTATTACTTCCTCCATAGGAAAAATGCAAGTGTTAAACTCCCATCAAAAGTAATTGGGAAAGATATCTGGTATATTTGTGGATACCTGTCCACAATGAAAACATTTTGGCTGCAGGCTCTCAATAAAAGTCTCTTTCTGTAGTATTATTTTCAGTCTGCCTTCTGTTGCAGCCCACCAGAGATACAATGTGCAGTGAGAGACGGTATCTCCTCCCAGCAGACATGAAAACAGTGTCATTATTGTTACCAGCAAATAACTTCTACTGGAGTAGCATAGATGAAGGCAAGAAAGCTTCCACTCAGCCTTCCGGGAAATTTGGAATTTAGGTGTTCTTTAAATATTACAGTGTATCTGCCTACTGAGAGGACTCCCACTTTGGGTGAAAAGTAAGCAATGGTTACTATACAGCTGTTAGTTTAGAAAGTAAACTTTATGGTGAACTCATTGCCTGTGTAGTGGATTTTCTGAGTATTTGATAGCACAGTTGTTCTGCTCTCTGAGTAAAAGTTACATCAGTTGTTATTGAGAAAAAGATCCTGTAAGGTTACTATTCTGACTGACTAAGTTAAATCTATAACAGCAGTTCTAGTAAGAGAAAGGRAAAACACTGGGGAAAAACCACCAAGGTTTTAATTTGAAGTTTGCTTTGCACAGATAATGTATTTTATTCTTTTCCTGTGAAGGCCCAGTGATGATACTGTTGCCTGTTTTCCTCCTCTCAGGTGCGTATTATCTGTTCTGCAGTAGCTCCTCTTGAAAGCTTGTTCCTGGTGGAACAGGGCAGTGGTGAACTGCAGGACAACAGAGTGTTGATGGATGATTTGGACTTGAGCCAGGTACATTATTTTAATATGTTTCCTTTTTGTAACAAAATTTGGTTTAGTTTCATAATTGCCGCAGCATTTTAGGAAGGGGAATCAAGAAAACATTTAACTAATGATTTGCTGCTTTCTCTGCAGCTTATCTGTCACTCTGATAATTACAYGTTGTGTCACTTATTCATAGTCAAAGAAAATGTCACAATATATAGAACCATGTTGTGTAAGTTTTAGGGTYATTTTCAGTATTAATCATTGTATCAGTTCAGTCATGTATGACAATGCTGATTTAAGTTTAGCTCCTACATTTCAAATACAGAAACAAAAGATGGTTAATCTACCTCTTCCTAGACTATAGAACAGCCTTACAAATTCTCACAAACAGTACTATTTTACATGTTGCTTATTCCATTTTCCTTTTTCCCTGTAGCTCAGTTATTGCTAATGAGTTTTTAAATAATTTGTTTAAATGGGTGCACAATTAGTCAACAAAAAGAGAAAATAGATTATTAACCTGTCATTGTGTTGTTTTAAAACCAAATTATTGTATTTTCTGTATACTTTCAGAGGATTACCTAGCTTAAATAGGTGCTTTTCTTTAATTTTTGGAGATTAATTTTTATTTTTGATGCCATGCTGCTGTCTTGTTTTGTCAAAGCCTGTAAAGCACTGAGCCTTAGGAGTTAAGACAGGATGCACTTCAGTACCACCATGTGTCTCACAGTTCTGTGGTACTCTTTTTGTGTATTATTGCAGGATTCTGCCAAAGGACTCTCTATGTTTACAGGAGAAGAGGAAATCTTTGCCTTTCAGCGTACTCTCTCACGGCTCACAGAAATGCARACTGAACAGTACTGGAATGATGGGGACAGAAGCAAAAAAAACAAAAGTTGAATGAAATCACCAAGAAGTAAAATGACAGCATGAAATCACCAAGAAGAGAAATTGGAAAAACTTCATAAAAGCATTGAAAAGTTTTTAGCACAACTGAAATAATAATTGCACTTTATCATCTGGACCATGTTTTCTTTCATCAATAGTTTTTTAACTTTAACACATGAGGTTTCAGTTATTTTTCTGTACCACTGCATGTGAAATTTTGCCTTCATTGGTTCTTCTTCAAACCTGTCTGGATGTCTGGGTTCATACAATGGTGGTGAATAGAGTTACATCCAGCTGGTGGCTGGTCACCAGTGGTGTTCCCCAGGGCTCAGTGTTGGGGCCAGCACACTTTTAGTATTTATATCCACGATATGGATCAGGGGATCAAGTGCACCCTTATTAAGTTCACAGATGATGCCAAGTTGGGTGGGAGTGTTCATCTGCAGGAGGGTAGGAAGGCTCTGCAGAGGATCTGGATAGCCTGGATCAATGGGCTGAGGCCAGTTGTATGAGGTTCAACAAGACCAAGTGCTGGGTCCTGCCCCTGGGTCACAACAACCCCAGGCAGCACTACAGGCTGGGGCAGAGGTGTGCTCAGGTGRCCAAGAAGGACARTGGMATCCTGGCCTGTATCAGCAGTGGTGTGGCCAGCAGGACCAGGGCAGTGATTSTCCCCCTGTACCCAGCACTGGTAAGGCCACACCTCAAATCCTGTATTCAATTCTGGGCCCCTCACTAAATGAAGGACTTTGAGGTGCCAGAATGTGTGTGGGGAAGGGCAGCACAGCTGGTGAAGGGTCTGGAGCACAAGTCCTSTGAGAAGTGGCTGAGGGACCTGGGGTCATTCAGCCTGGAGAAAAGGAGGTTCAGGGGTGACCWTATTGCTYTCTACAACCACCTGAAATGAGRTTGTAGCCAGGTGGGGTTGGTCTCTTCTCCCAGGCAACTAGTGACAGGAAAAGAGGACATRCCTCAAGCTGCTCCAGGAGATGTTCAGGTTGGGTATCAGGAAGAATTTCTTCACTGAAAGGATTGTCCAGCATTGGAACAGGCTGCCCAGGGAGGWGGTGAAGTCACCATCTCTGAAAGTGTTGAGGACATGGCACTTCTTTGTTTGACAGGGTGATGTTTGCACWAAAGTTGGACTCAGTGATCTTGGGAGGTTTTTTCCAATCCTAATGATTTTCTAAAATACAACTTTGATGTTCAGGAAGTATAATGGGATTAGAATTTTTCTAAAAAGTTGGTCTACAGACATAGTTAATGGGCTATGCAGAGTCATTTTTGAAGTGGGTACCTCATTGTTTATGCACTGTTTCTATCAAAATGCACAAAACAAAAATGAAATTTTTGATTTTCTAAGAAACTCTTGATATTGTTCRTGCTAGAGTCTTGGAGATCCTCTGTTGCACATTCTGATGGCGTTGTTTTTGTTTGTGTTGATTTTTTTTTCTATTCTCTTGAATCTAGCCATCTGCTGACTTTCAGGCTCTAGGAGTTTTCTGTAATTAGACTGTTCAGTCTGGTTTATTGAAAGTTAATGGTTTTAACCAAGAGAGAACCCTGAGGAGGACCTTTAAGGTACTTGAAGCTGCACAAGATTAAGATTGAAGTAATGGATGGGAGAAGAGACCATGGTAAGACAGGTAACAAATAAGTGCAAGTTAATACTCTTCCTAAATCTTGAGGTTCTTGCAAGCCTGGATATGCTGCTTCTATATCAGTGACATCTCTACCCTGAGTTTTCTTAGGCTTCTTCTCTACCAAAYCTTCCACTGCTGCTAACACACCTGCCCTGATCTGGGGCAATTCATCAACATAGGAATGTGTTTTATGGRAAAGAYAGGATAGTAACTGATACCTCAAGAYACATCATCCATCCTCCTGTTTGTARTTGGAGACTATTTTAAAGATGCAGTGGTCTCATTCTTGATTTTTATTTAACTGAAACTAAACATAGTATTGTGTGTATTGGCTTATTGTGTRCTTTTATAAACAGTCATTTTTAATAGCATATTAAGAAACTTTGARTAGGAAAAAATATGCAGATGGACTGAAAAGAATGCCCTAATTTCTGAGGGAGGAGATACATAACACACTGTCCCCAGCTTCAAAATGTTTTCTTGGATTTTGCCACATGATCTTTTTCTGTCTGTTATCMAATTATCTCAGTCATTGCCCCCATCACAATTACAAAAAGCTTCTAAAAGGGCCTTCTGGGCAGCAGGGAGGGCTGGAGAGGTGCTGTGCACTTACTYTTGTTATGGAGCCATGTGCTCAAGAGTGGTTTTCTGTTCTGATCCCTTCTGTTTGTCCTGGAAATTACTTACACTGACTATACCTGTTCTTCAAGTAATTTTTAAAGCCTGTATTTATAGTTTGCAACTCATGGAACTATATTATTATTCCCACAAGGATGACTTCCATGGAGAATTTTAATGCATATTTATGAAAACTAATCAGAATATGTTGCTTATACTTTAGAATATACAAATAATTGGTGTGTGCTTTCAGAGATTTCAATTACGTTTCTCAACAGAGGGACTATTGGCATTCATGCATGTGTGTCTGTATATACAAACACATATGTATATTTAATTTATACATGTGTATATAAATCTAGATAAAACTAATATATAAAATTTAAGTGTGTATGTTTGTGTATTTATACATGGCACTCTATACTTATCAGCCTTGGACTGTGCTGATAACTCTCATGAAGCTTCAGCCTTGATGTTTTTTAATCCTTRAATTCAAATGCCTCCTGTCTTGTCTGAACCAGAATGTGTTGTGGAAAAACAGGAGATGGTGGTAGATAACCTAAGGCACTTTGCATCTGGATATTTATTTACATTCTTTTAAAAACTGCTTATATGTTTAGCCTGTATGTCCTTCTCTGTCAGGTGGTACAGACTAAGGGTGTAATCTTGCAGAACACAGATGACATATCTGGGACATGTGAGAGAGGATGTCCTGGCAGGTTCTGCATTCCCACAGAGACTATCTCAGGCTAGGGAAGTGAGGTGTTTCTCCATGGTCTGTGTGGGTGATKACCAAGCTCCTTTAACCAGGGGATGCCTGTTTGTGTTCAGACTGGTGCTGCTTTGCCAGGTGGTATTTGAAGCTTTTCTGCAGTCTGAGTGCACACCCCAAACTCAGATACCCCAGGTTTTTGGAAGCTCCTAAATGTAGTGGAATTGATGGTACCRTTCAAAGCCTCTGAGTATGTAGGTGAGCTCTGTCAGAACATAGGAGGGAACATCTCAAAAAGCTTCCAGAGCCAGCACTGCTTCCAGGACATGCTGGAATAAAAGCACAGTGCAGTCTTTCCTTGGCCAGCTAGGAAGTTGTTTGTTGGGTGTCACTGGTAGGTACCAGAAGTAATCAAGGAAAAGAAATGGGAATGATTCTAGAAGTGTTTTGAGGCTGAAAACAAGAGAAGTTGCCTAAATCACTGTGCTGTATTCGTGATTGTGCTGCAGAGGGACATTTGCCACATTTGGGTCAGGTCCACAAGGAGMAATKGATTGGACCAGTTTGTCAGCCAGGSCAGAGTGCCTCCCAGTAACCACAGAAGCAGCACATCGATGCCCATGTACCTCCCTGAAGAAAGTGAGGCCCTGTTTGCTTATTTTATAATGCTGTAGCATGTATCATGTCTCTTTCCAGTGCTGAGTTGGGGGTGCTGCTTCTCTGGTCAGACAACTTCCAGGCAACTGGTGCTGGCCAGAATCTGTCACTGGACACCATGGAAATGGATCAACMGTTATGWTGGGACTACTAACYGTGGTTATATTGTGCYCCAGGGTGCTGGGCCACCTGTGCTMCCAACTGTCCTGTCCCCTTGCTRCMTGGCCTGCTCCAAGACAGCAACAATCCATGACTTTTTATTCTCACATTAAGGTGTTGTATTTGCCAAAGCAAACTGAGAGCCTGTGAGTAAACTATGCACACTCCATAGTGGCCTTAAAAATTGCCAGATTTWTGATGGACTCTTCTATCCCAAGTTCAAATTCTGTTTTTTCAGGTTTTTCTTTACTTGTGAATTCATGTAATCTCAGATCTGCAATAGATTKCCTTTAGTCATTCAGCAAACATTATTGACAAGTTATTTTTAAAAGTCTTTTCAAGGGATCTTTATTGATGTGGTATGATACTTTGCTGTCATAGGAAGTAAAATCYTTGGGATTATGGACCATGTGAAACACTTCATGTTCTCTAAATGTCATGTCCTCGCTGAGAATCTCTCAACTAACTTCTTTCAAATACTTGATTGATCAAGGAATGTTCACAATGCCCAAAAATTTAACTTAAAAAAAAATAAATAATGCAATTCTGTCTTTCAGTTACTGGTTTTCAGTATATTTTACTGTGCAGATTGTGGGAACAATTGCAGTATTTTGGGTAGAACAAGACAGCTTTCCAAAGGCTTTGGAGGGATTGAAGATGCACTTTTKGCTGTTGCTGGTTTTTGATCTGAAAAGAAAAATCATTAATGGCTTTTTTTTTTAGTAAAGGTGTTCATGATGACACTATAGCTGGATAGATGTTACCTATTTTGCAGCAATTTAAATATGAAAAAAGCAACTGACCAGGTTTCAAACAGTCTCAGCAYGGTCACCAGCCATCTCACAAGGAGGAAGTACAGTCTCTCCATCAAGACCTGGCTAACAGAATTAAGAGTCTGGATTTTTCTTTTTGCAGTTCKCTGGATCTGAATACACCTGATGCCTCAGTTTCCCTTTTGATAAAATGGGAATCTTTCTTACTTGCTAACTCTGGAGTGCTGCCAGGCTTCCCTCATTAATATTCTAAGATGCTAGCCGAGACTGGGATGAAAATACTTCAGTTAAGTATGTAAATAGTGCAAAAAAATAATTTAGCTACTCAGAGTGGATTAGTCTCCTTGTTTGGGTTACAGAATTAATGTCATCCACTAAACACCACATGTGTCTTCATAGTGATTTGGTTTTAAATAATGCATCTATTTTAAGCTTCTATTTAAAGRAAAAAATGGGTTTGTGATTAAAACWCAAACCATAAATTTCTGTAGYTTTTCTTTTACCTGTAATGACAAATTTCCTATATGATTAATAGCAACCTTRTATCCTATACATGTGAAATACAGTGGTTTTGTAAATTCTGTTGGGATTTTCCTTGCATATGAAGAATATTTTTTTAAATATGTCATTTTGAATCTAATACATTACAAACTGAACACTGTCAAATCCTGTTATTTGAGAAGAATTTATTTTGTAATAAAAACAAATTAATAAATCCAGATTTTATRAACATGTCACTTATTCATGCTACTTTTAGGTATGTGTTCTGGATAGACAGACCCAATATTAATTGGGATCATAGAATGTTATGGGGTTGGACCTTTAAGATCATCCAATCCCAACCTCTCCTGCCATGGGCAGGGACACCACCCACTAGACCAGGTTTCTCCATCCCTGGGAACACTGCCAGGGATGGGGCATCCACAGCTGCTCTGGGAAACCTGTTCTAGTACCTCACCACCCTCACAGTAAAGAATTTATACCAAATTGCCACTCTAAGCTCTCCCTCTTTCAGTTTAAAGCCATCCCCCCCTGTCCTGTCACTATGTGCCCTTGTAAAAGGTCTCTCTCCAGATCTCTTGCAGCTCCCTTTAGGTATTGGAAGGCTTCTGTGAGGTCTCCCTGGAGTGTTTTCCAGGCTGAACAACCCCAACTCTCTCAGCCTGTCCCCATAGGAGAGGTGCTCCAGCCCTTTGTTCTTCAGTACTCGGTGTGATTGTTTTTTCTTAAATCTCTGTRTCCAGGGGCAAACCTGGACTGGCAGCACTGCCAGTTTCTGGGCACCTAGGTTGCCTGTAGGAGCTGTAGCCATTGCCCTACACATGGTTCAACTTTTGGGTAGTGATATTCAGAGCTTGTCAGAAAGATCCTCCTCCAGAAGCAGTTCAAACTTGTCTGCCTCAGCTGCTGCTGCCAGCAGCCCTTATTTTTTTTTGTTTGGAACCCTTTTTTTCACCTCTCTGACTCTTTTCTCCAGCAACTTGAGGGTGAGACAAAATAGCTGTGTGCAAACCACAATTTAAGTGGTTTTTGTTCCCCTGTWATTTGGGATTCTTACTGTTCAAGATGTGCTTTTGCTGTCAGCTAATTAGTTCTGTGGTTAGTTGTTACAGGATTTGCACAGCTTGGAAAATTGCCCCAGGAAGCAGTTAGTAAACATTCAGGCTGGCAGAGAACTCCCACACAGAAGGGCTGGGAAGGTCTGAGGATCACTGCAGCTCCCCAGTGCAACTGCCCTGAAGCACCACCTCTTAGTGTTGAGAAAGGRAAGAACAAGGCTGCATGTTCAAGAACAAGAAACATGGCACTTCTCCATGGATGCTAGTGGCAGACRGCAAGCAGTGCTTCACAGTTTGGGCTTGAGAAGCCAGTGGTGTCAGATTTTTTAGGAGGAGTTAAATTTTGGGCCTATTTCTATACTTTCTGCTGAGAACAYTTCATTTTCCCATTTCTCACACAGGTTTGTGAAGGAAGAAGCTGTACCTTCAACGATGGTTGCATGCCTTGTCACTCACATAAGCATTGGACCCTTCTCCAGACCAATTTAAGATCCTGTTTTTCTTTCAAATATCCTGCAGGACCCTGCAAAAGGGGAGACATTTCTGACCCTTGGGTTCGGTGCACTGCCTGCTTTTGCCTCTGCATCTGCCCAGAAGGGGGACTGGCAGTGGCAGTGCCTAGTGTGAGAGGAGAGAGTGGATGGAGCAGATGGAGGATGCAGGCCACTTGCTCCCTCTCCAGCCTTCTGCATTCTCCACATATTTGTAAAACAACTTTTGTTTTAAGTTGAATTGATTTCTAAGAGAGCCATTAAAATACAGAATGCTTCTCACTGACCTAGTACTCTGCATTCATGTTGGTAAAATTTTGGATGTGTTTCTATAGTCCTCCCGCCAGTTCTTTGTCAGGGTGAAGGGTTTAGTTGGCTCTGTTAATCCACTCTCTAGCTGAAATTGTTCATTTAAATCGTTATAAAAATCCACTCTTTTCCARTGTGAATCCTATATTCCCAGATTTGAGTACTGCTGCCAGTGCAAAGACTTCAAATTCTCTGAGTGCAACCACACTATGTCAGTCCAAAGCCAAATTGCAAAAACTTATCCACAATTCCCCTTACTCAGCTTTAAGCTAATTTTTCCAGCAGGCAACAATAGCCATAAAACTATAGGGAAAGATTATTACAAGAGCTTAAGAAATGGTTAACCAATTTCTTCACAAGCTGTGGGATAATTCTACCTCATTCTCTTACTGCAAGAAGCAAAACCTTTAGTTCTGTTACTTGATATATTTTTAGCACGTGGTTCTTCAGTGTCACAATAATTAAGAGCAATCATAGCCACTGAATGATGAAGCRTGGAACAAAAGATCAAGCGATTGTTTAAGCTGAAGTCAGTCAAAGCAGAAAAAGTAAGCTCAACAAAATGAAGAAAAAAGCTGTGAGTGCACTAGTCTTTTACAATTAGCAAAGGCAAACATGCTCATGTAACTTTTTCTACCTGCAGTGATGGATAATGTTCAGGTCACAACGCAATGTGTGAGGCAGTGGGGTTTGTTCCTGCAAGCCTATTAAGAGCATCACTCATGTTAGGTTGTTCCTGTAGCAGAGGTGTGATGTGCCCAGCAACACTTCCCTGCTAATAGAGGTTCAAACACTGCAGACAGGTAACAAAGTTCTTCGGGGGTTAAGATTTTCCCCCTTTTATTCCCTTCCTTTGGGAATTTTTTCTTTCCCATTTATTGCTGGGATACACTAATTGCCAGGTCATCCTCTTGATGGCTGGGTGATTAACGAAAACAATACCACCTATACCCACCTTATTGGTCTTGCCAAGCGCTGGGAGAGAGGGGTTTTGTGTGGTGGTGGGGGAGGGGTGATTTCACTTGCTTGGCTGCTTCGCTGAGAAAAGGAAGTCTGCCTGCTGGCTGCTCCGGAGAAAGCTGGCCTGCCCTTTTTCTGCGAAGACCAGCATCTCTATTCATTGAGTTCCTGCTTGCTGCCACGGTGGTTTTCTCTCCTGTGCCTCACCAGGAACCACTGCGATTCCAGTTTCAGGGGTGAGCTCTACTCCATCCCGTCTCGCAGCCGCGGGATTGTGCTTGTCTCTTTGCCGTCCTGGGTTTCTTGCTGTCCAGAGGAGCACCGAGATCGGTGTTTCTGCTGTGAGTTTTGCAGAGAAACTTTTCTCCATCCACCTCTGCCATTTTGTGTCCATCACTGGCGCCGTGTGAGATCTGAGCCAGCCGGGACCCGCGCCACAGCGCCCCCTGCAGCCCCCGGGGAATCATCGCACCCGCCCTGCCCGGCCGGGAGCCAACAGCGCCCCTGCCGACGGGACTGTAACTGCACAAAAGGGGAGGGTGTATCTCTGTGTGAGGCTGTCACTGAGTTTGGGACTGGGCTGGTTGTTGCTATTGTTATTGTTACTTGTTTCACCTTGTTATACATATTAGTAAAAACTGTTATTCCCTTTTACCCATATTCTTGCCTGAAAGCCCGTGATTTTTCAAAGCTATAAAAATTTGGAGGGAAGGGGAGTCATATCCACCACTCCAAGGGGGGTCCCTGCCTTCACTGGCAAACACCTATCTTTCAAACCAAGACAGGGGGGCAAGGGGAGCAAAGCTGGTTGAAAACACAGGCAGAGGACCAGTCTCCTCCAGCTGCAGTTGGTATCTCCCAAGAAGTAACATTTCAGAGGCCAGTAGAGAGAGGAGCAATTCCTGTCCAGCAAAAATTACAATCTGAATGGGCTGCCATTTTCAGTGCTTCGCTAGGATGGTTGTGATTGCTATAGAAACTTCTGAAAGTGAGACAGAGAGGTTTTCCAGCACTGGAAACTGCGAATGGAGAAGGTTAGACTGGGTGCAAAGCCCATTCAGTCAGRCAGCTGCCAATTGAGCCTCTTTGCCAAGTAGATTGTAGGAAATGTTGATTTAAAAGTCCATGGAATGCACCAGGCAAATTAAATTTCAGTCACAGCTGCCTGGGCAGTTTTGGTGGGCAGACAGCTCCAGCCTGTGGTGCACCTGGGCTCACTCTTCCCCTGTGGCCTCTCCCACAGCCACCTGCCCCTCACTCACAGGTACCACAGCAATGCTGCAGTTGTGGCACTCTAAGRAGCACAGGTGAGATGAGGAAAGGTGGTAGTGACTGGTCCAGTAAAGGATGTCTGCAGGGAAAAAAAAGKAGACATCATTCCAGGTAAGGGAGCAATGTCCCTCCCCACTCCAGCTTTGACATTTCTCCCAAGGCACAAGCCCAGGAGATGGCTGCTGCCATGTTCATCCTACTGTGACTGAGCTGGCACCCCCAGGCCATCTCCCCCACCCTACTCTCTGTACTGGCATACAAACAGGACTGCTGTCTTTGAACATTGCCTGCCAATCCCTTCTCCATCAAACAGCCCGTGGTGGACAGCTGAAACTGTCCCTTTGGGGCAGAGCAGCTGGCAGTAYAGCCAAAAGCCTGCCACAAACCAGGAGACAGGGCTAAGCCTGTGGGTGGCGCTGGTGCTTGGGACTTTCCTTTTTCCACCTCTTGAGCAGCTTAGAAAAGCCCCTGAAATCCTTTCCCACAGTCCATCATTCCCAGCTTTGGTTGGACACTCAGGTGCAGCTGCAAGTYCAGTAATGTTTCTTCTTAAGAAGCTGCTCTGACCTCCTTTCCACACCCCATTCCTCTGTGATTTCATCTGTGTTGAGGGAGAGTTTAGTGTCTTTTTGTGTTCATTGCTGGGCTTGGTAAAACAGCTTGTCACCCTTCTGACAGCAGGCAGGCAGCAGTTTTTCCAGTGCCTTGCTCCCCACCAATCCCCTAAAGGAATGTTGGTATTAGTAATCTTTACCACCATCATTGTTTCATTTCTTTCTCTCTCCTGCCTCTCCTCAGCTTCCTTTGATTTAACTCCAGGCAKTCAAACAGAAGAGTCTCAGGCAGGTAAGTGCAGACACAGGTAAAGCTGTGACACAGTCACACGGCCATTTCCCTTCTCCTCCACAAGTTGGGTGCAGCTGGTGTGCCAGGCTCAGACAGCTTCAGCTCTGTGTCCCCCTGTGTCCCTTCACAACAGCTCCACTTAGGACAGTTGCTTTTCCAGTTGTGCTTGGCTTTGAGGCAAAACAATAAAACCACTTTGTGAAGGAAAGGAATTCCTTACCTACCTATATTGCAGTTTCCAAAGTTTCTTCATAGGCTGTGCTTGGAAAGAAATGTTTGCATTTAGGCA